AAAAGTACAAAAATCTGAGCTGATAAACGAGTCATTTGGGTTTTTCACTGATAAACAGTAGACCGACGATGAATTGCTGCGAAGTTTTTGCTTCATCGATGCAATCATGGAAATATCAGCAGCAATGGAATGATTATCACGTGATTCGGCTTAATTTGTATTCTTGGGTTCTTTTCGTTCACTTTCCTTATCAGTTCATGATTTAAAGACAATAAACAAATTGTAATAAAAATACAAATCAAATTCTTTTCTGCGAAGCAACCGAAAGACAGCGGGCGGCGCCAGCAAAACGATACGGTTCGTAAGTCAGTTCACAAGTTCGCAAGTCACAGAACATTCCTAATTGTTTTTCTTATCGCATTCCCACTTCATAAATTGTCAACGTGAAGACTCGTTATCAGCAGCAATCCAATAAACCGTAAACAAACTCCTTATCAACATCGAGCATTCCAAATTCTCCACAATTTTGTGTTGATTAATCGATAAATGCTCTTTGCAAAGTTTCCCTAATATCTTACCTTAGTTCTGGCGTCATTGTTGACTGTTACAGTTCCTTTGAATGCACGGTATGTATCATTTATTAATTCACTTATCAGCACACATCATCATCATATTCGAATCCATTCATACAATTATAGGTCTATGCGATTGACCTTATATATTAATGCGATTGATCAAGTACATTATATTATTTCATATTGTTAAGGCTAAGCAAAATTTGCTTATTGTTAGCTGTGACGAGCGAAATGAACCAATATAATATTAAATGCGCATTACCAATTAAATATTCAATTATATTTTACGTTACGAATCATTTATTAATTTATTCATTTATTCGTAATAAATGAATAAATAAATAAGTAGCTAAATTCATTTACTTCAACGCATAATGATTTTGATGTATTTCAATTGTGTATTCACAAGTGCCCTCTCACACCTTTATCAACTTCCTACCACCAATTTTTCACGCTGACGTCTACTCATATCCCGATCACGCAAAATTATATCAAATGCTCTCTGCGAGCAATGATCACAAGCTAGATTTCAAACGATCACTTTGGAAAGCGTTCTATTGAAAAGTGTTGCGGCGCACATGAGAGATTTCTGAGTTCGGCTTTCAGCGAATCGAGCCATCTCTGTGTTTACTGTAATTTCTCACTAACAGGAAATGATTTGGTTGCGCAAACAAACGATAGTTACTGCGTGGCTAGTATTAAACATACTCTTTTTGCATTCATCATTTGTGATACTTTCAATTCAACTACGCTACTGATCTCTGTTTATTGACAGTTTTTGTGGTAGTATCACTGCAATGCATTGTAATCATT